GTCAGAGAAAAAGAGGACGACCCCTAACAAGATGGACTGGCCAAGTGGCAGCATCAATGGACTCAAGCGTGGCAACAGAAGTGAGGTTGGCCCAGGATCGGGCAGTGTTTCGTTCTGCTGTGCATAGAGTTGCTATGGATCAGTACCGACTCGATGGCACCTAACAACAACAACAACCTGTATTTCGCCAAAGTTTCTAGTTGTAATCCATGGGAGAGAGATGATAGAATGTGCTTACTCAGTCTTGACAGGAACTGAGAATATTTCTGTCTACTTTTTCCTGTCAAGGCAATTCTGTCTTCATCTTGCAAGGATCCTGCATAGTTTCTCTTTTACTGAGAATTTCCCTTGGATTCAAAATTTCCGGCTTTCTTTATGTTGTCCTTAAAATTTTCTTGCATTTTTAGGAATTTAGAGTATGTTATTGTTCGTAGGTGCTGCTTAGTCAACTTTGACTCATAGTGATCCTGTGCACAACAGAATGAAACACTGGCCAGTGCTGGGCCATCCTGACAATTGTTGTTACATTTGAGCTCATTGTTGTATCCAGTCTGTCAGTCAGTCAGCTTTGGAGGTCTTCATCTTTTTCACTGACCCTCTACTTTCCCCAGCATGATGTTCTTTTTCAGGGACTGATATTTTTTGATAGTTTGTCCAGAGAATGAGAGACAAAGTCTCTCCGTCGTGACTTTGAAGAAGCATTCTGGCTCTACTTCTTCCAAGACAGATTATGTTCTTTTGACAAACCTGATACTTCCTGTATTCTTTGCTATCCACATAATTCAAATGTGTTGACTCTTCTCTGGTTTTCCTTATTCAGTGTTGAACTTTCACATGCATATGACGTTAAATGAAAATACCAGGGCTTGGGGTCAGGTGCACCTTAGTTCTCAAGCTGACATCTTTGCACTCTCAAACACTTCAAAGAGGTCTTTTGCAACAGATTTGCCTAATGCAGTGTGTCCTTTGATTTCTTGACTATTGTTTCTGTGAGTGTTGATTGTGGATTCATTCAAAATAAAGTTGACAGTTTCAATCTATTCTCTATCATGATGTTATTTACTGATCCAGTTGTGAGGAGTTTTGTACTTTACATTGATACTCAGTCCTTACTGAAGGCTATAGTCTTTGATCTTCATGAGTAAGTATTTCAGGTACTTTTGGCATCCAGCAAGCAAGGTTTTACCATCTGCATATTGCAGGTTATCAGTGAGTCTTCTTCTAATTCTGATGACGTTTTCTTCATATAATCCAGTTTCGTGGATTATTTGCTCAGCGTACAGATTGAATACATATGGAGAAAAGATATCAAAATTGAAGCTGTTATTTCTCGGTATATCCTTCATCTCGGACTGTACACTCTGAAGGCAGTGTTACTTCTCGATATATCCTTCATCTTGGTCTGTACTCTCTGAAGGCAGTGTTATTTCTCGGTATATCCTTCATCTCGGTCTGTACACTCTGAAGGCAGTGTTATTTGTTGGTATATCCTTCATCTCGGTCTGTACACTCTGAAGGCAGTGTTACTTCTCGGTATATCCTTCATCTCGGTCTGTACACTCTGATTGTGTCTCTCTAACCCTTCCCTAAATACTCTGTGTTTTATGAGTTATACAATGTCAGAACAGTCATTTGACATCCTCCGGAGGCTCAAATCATGTTGTTCAATGTTCTCTTTAGTTTTCAGAACAAGAAGAAGTCTGATGAGGCAAGAGCAGGGCTGTAGGGTGGGTGGGGCAAGGTTTCCCCCTGTAATTCTCAGAGACAATCCTTGCTATGCTTGAAGTATCAGCAGGTGTGTGTTTGAAAAAAAAATTCCTGTGTGTAGTTTACCTGGCCTTTTTTTCATTCCTGCAGTTTTCCGTTTTCTTTAAGCTTTTTCCTAGTAAGCCCCTGTGATTGTCCAGTGCCCTTTGACAAAACTCCTGGGAATCCTAGAAAATAGTTGCCCTCCCTTCTTAACTGACATCTCTGCCTTAAGTTTAAACACTGCAGATAACCCCAAAAGCCACTGTTTCGAGTGGACCTCTTTGTAAAAAAGACACAGTAACGAGATTAAGACAAATGCATTACTGAAAACACTTGTTTGCATCTATTGATCCCAGAGATATGTTTAAGAATGTTTTATTTGGAATAAACCCATGCATGTGTGAACTGGGAACTAGTAATAATACTTTTTACCCTAATTCATATCACGTGAGCAGGAGAAAGCCACATTGTGACTTCAGCCTGCCCACTTTGATATTGAAGATATTGAAGCTACTTGATTTGAAGATGTTAATTTTGAAATCCATAGTTGATATTCATTTTTATGAGTGCAGGATAATGGTTTGTATTGGAAGCTGTAGATAGCGGGTATCTATTCTCTAATGAGCTGCTCCCTTGAGTGGGAGAACTGAATTTAGCATTGTGTAAAGTTGTTGGATCCAGGTGTGTGTGCTGGTAACTTTAGGATTTAGCACAAGGTCAGCAGTTCGAATTCACCAGTCTCGGAAACCCTATACAGAGTTGGTAGAGTCAGAATCGACTTCATGGCAGTGGGGTTTTTTCCTTTTTGGTTTATAGGTGGACAGATAGGCAGGGTATGTTTGCCTAATTAGTACTTCAGTCTAATAATGGAATTATTACTGTAATAATGGAAGATTTTAGCACATTTCCTCTTCATCTTAGCCTTCTTTTACTCCTGAGTCTGTAGTGGGCAACCATTCTTCCTGTCCCCAGGTCCTTACAGATATGTTAGAAGCGCTTTCCAGATTGGCAGTACACTTCTGTCGAGGTGGAATCAGGATTTCATCCTGGGGCTAAACACTGTTGCTGTAGGCACAGAAGCTCTACCTGTCCCGTTGTTCCTGTTCCTTCTTCATTGTGCCGGGTATGTCATGGACTTTCCACCTAGACCTCCGTGTCTTTTCTGGGGTACTGTCTTTGATACAGATACTCTCTAATACCCTCCCTTTCCTTATCTGCTTTGGACTCTTATTTGGTTGATGGCTCTCCCACTCTGGTATGTTGCTTCTCTTACTTTGTTTTCTGAATTTCTCTCTCTTTTCTTGTTTCATTTTCTGAGAGAATTCTTCAAGTTTTTATTTCATGCTTTCTATTGACTTTTTAAATTTCTATCATATTTTTAATTCTCAAGAGTGTATCTTCTCTGAATAGAGTTATTAACATCCTGTTTTGATTTCCCAGGTACATTATATCCACTACTCTCTAAGGTGATTTTATAGTTTAAGATTTTTTTTTTTTCTTTCCAGGTTTTCTATTTCTTATATTGTCGCTCTTTCACCTCTTGCATGTTAGATGTTGACATTTGTGTAGAGGCGGGTTGACTTAGAAGGTTTCTGTACTCGAGCAGAGTTGTCAGGGCTTGAGCTTCTCAGTAGAGGAAATGGACAGGGGCCTGTTTGATGGAGGAGTTGTCTCTTGGTGTGCTAGCTCCCTTTTCTCTTGACCTGTTGAGTTTTCCCTACAGAGGAATTTTGACTTCAGTGTTCCAGAAGGAGGGTTTGAAGTCAAGTGCAGGCTGTTAACTGTACGGAATATTCTTCTGCTTTGCTTACGTCCATCCAGATTTGCTTTGTTTAGCTTTGGTAGCTGGGGGTATTGATCGTTTTCTGCTTGTATTGCTGACATTGGGGGACTTAGGAGACAAACTGTTTTCCATTTGTAGCCAGTCCTCCTTTTTCGGTCCTATCTGCAGTCCCGTTTACAGTGACATCAAGGTATCAAGTTCCTTCATGTCCCAAGCTTCACTGGGGTTCTTAGTAGGAATTGAATTTCTTCCTGGCTATGTCTTCCCACTTGTTTGCCCTTTCTTACACTCACATTTAGCTTTTAGTTTTTACTGTCCTCTGAAATCATTCATCTGCTTTCCTTTTCTTAAATTTTGTTGAATTTTCCTTGCTCACTTTTATATTGTTTGTTTTTGTAGGCCTGTGCTTTATTGTTTTGAAATCTCTAATTCAGGTGACCCTGGGTGTGCTCAGCTGCTAACTGGAAGGGTGGAGGTATGAGTCCACCTAGAGGCTTCTTGAAAGAAGGGCCGGCCTGCTGATCTACTTCTGAACAATTCTCGACTGAGAATCTTGGGAAGAGCAGTTGTGCTCTGATGGTCACGAGTATTTCCAGTTTAGTGGAGATTTGAAGGATGTGGAGGCAAGCATGTATGTTGAAGCTACCGTCTTAGTCTAAAGTGGGAGCAGAATTTATACCAAAATTCTGTGATTTTACCATGATTGACTTTTGTTTTTTTGTGTTTGTTGATTTTAAACTTGGAATTTCGTCGAGACCCTTTTGCGAGGCCCCCTCTCATGCATCATGTTTAGACTGTGATGATCCAACTCTGATTATCGGTCTAATTTATTGTCTCTTTTAGAATTTATTCAGACTGTCTGGCTATTGCTGTATGCTGTCCCCAGTCTTTGCTGAATCATTTCATTCTGTCAGTCACTCGTTTTGTTTTCATTTTTAAATCACCTTTCTGCCCTTTCGGAGGAACTCTGGTGGAACAGGGGTTAAGGGTTCAGCCTGAACCAGAGTTCTGGAGGTTCTAGTCCACCAGCCACACTGAGTGAGAAAGATGTGATGCTCTACTTCTGGGAAACTTGTTGTTGTGAGCCATTGAGTCGGTTGTGACTGATAGCAACTCTACATATAGTTTCTGAAGTGGCTGGTGGCTGTGATCTGCTGACCTTATGGTCAGTAGTCCAGTGCTAGGACTCTCTCTGGGGCAGCTCTCCTCTGTCCTATCTGTGGGGTCATTCACTCTGTCCTGTAGGATCACTGTGGCTCTCAGCCCGACTTCAGAGCTGTGAATTTGGGTCCGTCCTTCCAGTGAAGATCTTGGGAAGGTGGAAAAGTAAATTGACGTATGTGCTCAGTGTACTATCTTGAACTAAAAGCTTCCAGCAGTTTAGACTTACATTGATTGGTAATCATTGAAATCTTTTTGTTTCTCTTTAATTGCTTCCGAGCTTTGACATTGTTATGTTCTCTTTCAGCTGATGCAGCCCAGCAGTTCCAGTACGCCGTGCGAGTTATTGGCAGCAACTTCGCCCCCACTGTTGAAAGAGACGAATTTCTGGTAGCTGAAAAAATCAAGAAAGAACGTATGTAATCTTTAAAAATTTTGTCACTTGTTAGATTCTTGAACTTGTCAAAGTTTAAAGGATGTGTATGCATGTGTTTATAGTGTGTGCATAGTTCCCAAGCACATTTTAATTCTATTATTAAAAATGACAACTCAGTTTTGTCTTTTATTAGACTATTGTGAATGGGGTTTATTTTAAATAGTATTATAAAAACATTTAGTTGAGTGTGTCCGATAAAAGGACTTAATATAACTCTTCCTATTTCTCTTAAAATAAAAGGGCTTAATGTAACTTCCTACTTCCCTTATATTTTAGTGTTTAATATTCTACACCTCTGACCAGTGTTGGAGACTGGGTTCTCTAGTGAAACAAAACCAGTGAAGTATATATATATATATATATCTGTCTGTCTGTCTATCTCTATGTATCTCTATCTAGGAGTCCTGGTTATGGTACTGTGGCTTAATGCGCTGGATTGCAAGGTCGATTGAACTGCAAGGTCGGGAGTTCAGGCTTGCCAGCCACTCCTCTGAACCCCCGTACAGAGTCTCTATGGTTTGGAACTGACTCGACAGCACTTCACAACAACACAACATATGTATATATACATATATAGATATAGATAATGTGTGTTTCACTGGTTTTGCTTTTGTAGAGAGAGATAGTTTGTATCAAGGAACTGGCTCACACAGCTGTAGAGGGGGCAAGTCTCAAGTCTGTGGGTCAGATGTCAGGCTGGAGGCTTCTGACGCCCATGGCTGCAGGGCTGTTGAAGCAAGATCAGCAGGTCAGATGATAGGCAGGCAAATTGGCAGGTAAGATGGCAGGCTGACGACTCCCGTGGAGGTTGGCTGATGAGCCACATGCCGCAGGCTCCAGACCCAGCAGAAAGCAGCAAGCTCTGCTTGGTGTCACGTATATTGGAAGTGGGCCACATCCTGAGGAAACTTCCTTTCAGTCACTTGGCTGTTCGTCTCATCATAGAGGTGATTGCGTTCTATTAGCTCTCATCCTGGGGATAACTGTCTCAATTGCCAATCACTGAGACCCTGACCAAGTCAAGTTGGCACAAAACATGAGCTGTCACAACCAGACAACACAGCACATTGTCTTGGTCTTAAAACAAGCAACTATTGCTTCTACAGTTGTCAACATCCAAAATTCTAGTTCTTTGGAACTCCCATATTTGAACATTTTAACTCTACAATGATGTTTAGAGCTTTCTTAATGTGAATTTCTTAGAGAAGGAAACTTTTGACATTGACACCTATTCCATTTATTAACAAATAGTTTATTAATGGATTATGTGATTGCATAAAGTAAGGCTATTCTACCTATCTTCACATCTAGAATTTTCTGTGGCAAAGAAAGCTTGGGTTTGAAGTATAGAGAACCACGAATAAGAATTGCTGCAGTCTCAGGTGAAGTGACCAGTTCTGTATTGCTCACAGTTCTCTGGGAATGTATGAGCCAGGCTCCAGCGGACAGGGAATCCTGTCTTGAATATGATTACATTTTCCCTGCTAGTGTCTTAACTAATTAGCTACCGAAACAAAATGGGCCTCTGGGCTTTTTTCTTTTAAAAAATAATATTTTACTGCATTTTTGGTTAAGGTTTAGAGAACAAGTTCCCATAATGACAGTTTCCACATGTTGTTTCAGTGACATTTGTTATGTTTATCACAGTGTGTCAGTGTTCTCCGTAATTGTGTTCCTTTTGTCCCCTTGCCAGTCTTCTAGATTCTCTTCCCATTTATCTTGTTGACCTTTTGGTCTTAGTGATGGCTTTTAAGTAGAGTGCTGGGCTTATGTGTAATATCCTTTGTTTTGTATGCCTCTCTTCTTTTTCACTTAAATAAAGGTCATCTCAGGTTGAAAAAGTTTCTTGGGGAGTTCTCTTTTTCTCTCTTTTTTACTGTTATAGTTTGTCTAGGTTTTTTTTTTCTTTCTTTCTACCTTTTCAATAAGAATTTGAGTTTTGCTCCTTAGTTTTCCTATTTCATTCAGGATCAACTATTGTCACCCCAATCAGAAGAGTCAGTGGTAGTAACTGGGTATCATCTCGTCCTTCTGGTCTCAGAGTAGCTGCGGTTGTGGTCATGCAGGCTACTTTGTGTTTTGAGCTTGAGACTGCCTTCTTACTATTTTGCTCCTGATGAGTAGAGACCCATGGTTGCATCATGGGTGGGACTTGCAAGGTTGTAAGATCCCGGATGCTCCTCACTTCACTAGGATGCAGATCATGATTTTGTGAACTATGTTGTTTCCTTAGCTTGATTGCTAAGTGTTTTGCAAACTTGATACCTTCTAGGAGGTCTGGTGTTTTGACACAGAGCATTCAGCTGTTGCATTATTAACTGTGGTTTAGGAAATACTCTGTGTGGATGGCTCTATTGAAGAGATGTGTAACTAAGCTGGCTTCTGCGTCAACTGGATGATAGAAAGTGTTTGTTGTGGCTCGTGAGTACTTAAAGCTAGCTAGTAATTAGTAATTGCATAATTGGAGTCCTGGTGTGTTGCTGTAGGATAAGCACGGGATTGCTAACTGTGAGGTTGGTAGTTCAAACCACCAGCCACTCCCTGGGAAACTTACACAGGGTTGCTATGAGTCGGAACTCAGTTGTTGATGGCACTTCACAACAACAACAACAAGAAGAAGTAATTTAAGTTTAAAAGATTTTGATGTTACTTAGTGTGCATATATTACGTAAAAGTAGGGATAGAAAAAAATTTAAATCAACTTAGTGACACCCAGCAGCAGCAATTGTGCTAACTTATAAGGACTTAATCTCCTTTCATGTGTGAAACTATAAACCTTAGAACATTACACTATTTTTATAAAAAAATTTTGTTAGTTTCGTTGAGAGTGTATGCCATAAAACATGCACCAGTCCTCCAGTGTACTTCTTTTTCTGAGCCCTAATATATACGAGCTCTGGTAGTGTTGTTGTTGTTGTTAAGTGCCGTCGAGTCGGTTCCGACCCATAGCGACCCTGTACAGGGTTTCCGAAGGTGTAAATCCTTACGGGAGTAGAAAGCCTCATCTTTCTCCCGCGGAGTGGCTGGTAGTTTCGAACCGCTGACCTTAAGGTTCGCAGCCCAATTCGTAACCACTACGCTACCAGAGTGGTTACGAATTGGGCTGCGAACCATAAGGTCAGCGGTTCGAAACTACCAGTCGCTCCGCGGGAGAAAGATGAGGCTTTCTACTCCTATAAAGATTATATATGCTTGATTATTACTAAGAACTACAACTGCTAGGTACTTTACTTAACATGCTCTTGTTGTTGTTGTTATGTGCCGTGGAGTAGGTTCCGACCCATAGCGACCCTGTACAGGGTTTCCGAGGGAGTAAATCTTTACGGGAGCAGAAAGCCTCATCTTTCTCCCTCAGAACAGCTGGTAGTTTCGAACTGCTGACTCTGAGGTTCACACAGCCCGATTTGTAACCACTGAGTTACCAGAGCTCCTTTTACTTTACATACTAGAGGACTTCAAATCGTTTATGGACAAGGGAATGAAAAGATTTTAATTTGTACATGAAGATTTTGTTTGTGTATGTTCTGAACCATTACTTTTACAAATTTACTTTTCAAGGTCTCATGGTAAACATTTGGAAATATGAAACAAATATAAAGAATATTTTTCTAAAGTTCAATTTAAGAGAAGAGCTGATGACTGACTACATAGTTACAATGAATAATTCATGGAAATCTCTTACTGTTTTGTTTTTTTTTAAGAAGAAACTATGTATGTTCACATTGTTTCTCTTATATATAGTTTATTTTTCTGAAAGGTCCCCTTCCGTTCATGGCCATCCTGTTGGTTCTGACTCACAGCAATCCTCTGTAGGGTTTCTGGGCTCATGTTTCTCCTTCAGAGTGACTGGTGGGTTTGTACTGCTGACCTTGTGGCTAGCAGTCCAGCTCTCAGCCTGCGGCCTCCAGGAGTAGATTGACTCAGTATAGGTATACTGTCACATTCAGTCCCATTCCAGGCAGATGTCCACCAACTTCTCTTGAGCACCGCGGTAAGCACCAGCTCCTTGAGTGTTGACAACTGTAGTTGATAGAACATGATTAATTGTCCTCCCATGTAATGGTCAACATTGGGTTTATCATATTTCATTAATTTTCAGAAATATTTTTTGCTCATGTTACCATTTTTAAAGTTTGATTATAGTTGTTGGTAAATTAAATGATTTGAGTTAGGGTAGTTTTATCCTCTGCAATGACATTGGCAAAGTTAATTTTTTAAATATGTTGTTGGCTTCAGATGTAAAGTACATTTGATATTGAAATAAATAACAAAAGTGATCATGTATGACAACTAATTTAACATTTATTAGTTTTAGTTTTTCACATTGACAACTAGGGCTTCTAATTCAAGATGTATTTTGCTTTGTTTAGCAATCTAGTAGAATGAAACTGTTTGTAAATCCATAAGTTCATTCTTACTCTTATTTATTATTTTATTGCCCTAGTATATATATTAATTAGAATTAGTCTTATTCAATAGAGAGAACTTCACATTTGTTTGTTTTTAAAGAGTTGAACTAGTTACAGATTTTCTTTGAAAAGGGGTTTAGTGACAAAAGGCCAAAGTTCATGCCATCATTGGACTCCTCAGACTCTTTCTTTGCTTCCAGTTTCTTCCCCTCAGCTGGGATAGCTTTGGTGGGAGGGGAGGGCCTCCTGCCAGTGTGTGCAGTACCTGATGCTTGGACAGCCCCACTGGGTCCTGTCGAGGAGAGGAGTTGCCCAGGTCAAAAAAAGGTCACTGTTGTGTTCCAGCTGCTTTAATGGGGGCGTTGGCCTTCTTCCTGCCCATCATCATCTCATTCCCTGCAGGATTAGGGCCCAGGAGATGCTGCTGAACTCAGAGACAGAGGCCGTGCTGTGGCCCTGTGGTAGTTTGGTGGCTCCAGGACATTTGCTGTTTGAATTGAGGACCTTAGCCCAGTGTGACCATAGCTGCTTCAGAATAATAATGTACGAAGTGCTAGTGCTGGTGGTGGTGAAGTGCCACCTATTTGGTTCCAACTCCTGGCGACCCTGCAGGTGGTTTCCAAGGAGTGGCTGCTGGGTTTGAACTGCTGACCCCGTACTTCAAACCAACCTATGGTCCTCAGGAAAATTACTTGTTTTTTGTTTTGTTTTGTTAATTTGGGAGTGTATTTATATATGTTTCAATGTACAATAGCAAATTACATTAAATTTTAATTGCATTAGTTTTGTTAAATACACCTTTCAGCAGTATGTTTTGTAGATAGCTTTAACTTTATATGAAAGGTCGAATGTGATTATGATTATATAATCTCTGGTTTATGATTTATATAGCTATGATTTGTTCACAGCTGCTGAATATAAAGAAATGTTGGCTAGGAAGCCAAGTTAATGAAAAAAGCCAAGCCAAACCTTTTGCTGAGGAGTTGATCCCAACTCATGGTGACCGCTGTGTTTTATAGCGTGAAGCTTTGGTCCTGTGGGTTCTCAGTGCCTGGATATTGTAGAAGTAGATCACCAGGTCTGTTTTCTGAAGCGCCTCTGGATTTGATCACCAACCTTCCAGATACTAGCCAAGTGCTTAACCGTTTGCATCACCAGAGACTTTCAAGTCAGTCATTCTTTCTACAAAGAACGAGAACATTTAAGGCTAAATGTAATTGGCTGAGAATATATTTAATATCTTAGCATTTTATTGTGGCTTGTGTGAAAATTTACAAAGAACATCAGTTTCTTGTCCAACAACTAGCATGTTTTGTTGTGATCCCTTCACTGTACTAGTGCCCAGCCCACTTCCTCCCTGGGTCCCCACTTCCAGTCACACATCTTCCCTACACCTGCCTGCCTTCTGAGCTTTGGTTTTAGGCAAATGCTGCCCTTTAGGCTGCCTGTGGTTCATTGTTTTGAGGACTACGTTTCTCGTTTTTCGTGGTTGTTATTGTTCGCTTAGTAGGCCTGTCTGTTGCTTGGCTGAAAGCTTGTCTCTGGGAGTGGATTCAGTTCCAGGTTTGAAGGGTGTCTAAAGACCATAGTCTAAAAAATTTTTTAAACTAATTTGAATTTTGCTCTACATTTTTCTCCGAGTCTGGTCCTGATCAGAGCAGTTGGTCGAGATTACTGTGCTTCACATGGTCCATTAGGTCTTTTGAGTCTTTGTTTCCTTGAGCATTTGATTTCCTGTATTCTTCTTTGCTCTGAATAGGAAGAGACTAATAGTTGTATCTTAGATGGCCACTTTCAACCTTTTACAACCCTACTCACAACTACCAAAGTAAGATGTCATAGTGGTTACAAATCGGGATGCCATCTGTCCTGAGGGTCAGCAGTTTGAGACTACCAGCGGTTCCGTGGGAGCACGATGAGGTTTTCTGCTCCCGTAAGGATTTACAGACTCAGAAACCCTGTACAGGGTCGCTGTGAGTCAGAACCGACTCCACGGCACATAGCCAACCAGCCAAGTGCTGTTGCTCTGGTTGACCTAGATGAGACTGTGCTCCTCAGCTCTCAAGCCCATAGGGGGTTCGGTTAGCTCAAAAACCTTTCTTTGTATTCCTTACTGTATATCTGAATATATTTCCATACAAATGCATATGTGGACACACCCTCTGCCACACAATGGATTCTTGAACCATTTTACAACAAGGATGAACCTGGAGAATATGCTTGTAAAATCAGTCACAGGAGAACAAATGTTGGATGTGACTACTGCCATAAAGAGCCCTGGTGTGACACTGTAGGGTAAGCAGTGGACCGCAGGCTGCAAGGTCAGCAGTTCAAACTCGTCAGCAACTCCTCAGGAGAAGAGGTTTTCTGCTCCTGTAAAGATGAACAGCCCCTGAAACCCTGGTCAGTGTTGCTATGAGTTGGAACCACTCGATGACATTTGTTGTGGCTCTACCTAGTGGTGGAATGGCTGCATCATATGGTTCTATTTCTGCCTGTGTAAGGGGGAGTCCTGGTGTGGTGCTGTAGGATAAGTACTTGACTGCTAACTACAAGCCTGGCAGTCCACACCTACCAGCCGCTCCTCAGTAACCCTATACAGGGCCCTAGGTCGGACTGACAGCACTTCGCAACAACAAAGGAGCACCATAGTCTTTCCACAGGCACTCCACCAGCACTGTGAGTTTTTCCATTCCTACATATCGGCTCTTTGCTGAGTTTTTGAGGCTTGCCGAGCTGAGATAATATTGCTGTTTTGATTTACAACATTACTTCATGTATTTGTTGGCCACCTGAGTATCTTCTTTGGTGAAGTGTTTGCTCATGTCCCTTGCCCATTTTTAAATTGAATTGTATGTCTTTTTGTGGTTGAGGTGTCAAAGTTTCTTGTATACTTTAAAGATAGTCTATTGTTAAATGCTGTTAAGTCAGTTACAACTCATAGAGGCTCTGCATAGAGTATTTAAGGGGCAGCTGGTGGGTTTGAACTGCTGACCTTGTGGTTAGCAGTCCTGTGCTAATCCGACAGCACCACATCAGGATGCCTCTTTTCACCCTTTTGGATGCACGTAGGCACTTCGCTTTTAAGAGCTCCTAGTTGTGTAGTTTCTCTTGTCCCACTTGTGCATTTTCAGTTATGTTTCATGGACTGTTTGTGCCCTAAATTAGGGACACTTAAGTTTGCTACTTAGAAGTGAGGACGGTGAGGCATCAGCTTGACTTTGGGCATAATTTCAGGAGGGACCAGCCCCTCCTGAAGGACATCATGCTTGACATACTAGAGGGTTAGTGAACATGAGGAAGACCCTTGATGAGGCTGACGGATATAGTGACTGCACTGCCTGAGTGGACTCAGCCAGCCAATGCCAATCCACCTCATCATACCTGGTGCGATGCTCACTTGGTTGTGATTTATTATAACGATTTTTGATACAGTGTTGGATGCTATTGGCTAGGATTTTGTTGAGAATTATTTCATCAGTATTTATGAGGGATGGATATTGGTCTATAATGCTGTCTTTTATAGTGGGGTTTTTATCTGGCCATGTCATCAGGGTTATGTTGTCTTCATTGGATGAATTTGGAATGTTGTACCCTTTTGTGTATTTTGGAATAGTTTGTGTAAAATTACTGTCACCTCTTTGATTGTTTGGAAGAATTCTTCAGTGAAACCATATAAGCCAGTATTTTTTTGGGGGGATTTTTTTTTAATGACCTCTTCATTGTTTTCATTTTTATGGGTCTGTTGAAAATTTATACTTCAGTTTGTGTTAGTTTAGGGAGATAGTATATTTCTAGAAATGTGTCCATTTCTTCTAGAGTTTCATTTTTGCCTCTTAAGATTTTTAAAAAGTTATGCTACTAAACTGGGTTAAACACAAAAATTCATTAACATCACTGAAATTATAATTTATCTTTTAAAGTAGTACCTGTTTGAGGTTTAACAAAGTATGTCTTTGAAAGGCTACTTCGTATGTTTAAGGAAGTCTGCTCTCTGCTTTTGTAAACATAAGCAAGTGCATCTAGTCACTCAAGGGATTTAGAATCTGATCTGTAGCTTTCTTTTCATGTAACAAAAGTGTCACCTGAACTTTTCATTTGCTACCACGTTCTGGTGTGGCGCTTTGGGTTAGTACACAGAACTGCAAGGTCAGTTTGAACTGCAGGGTTAGTGGTTCAAATTCATTAGCTGCTCCTTGGAAACCCTATTCAGGATCGCCTGATTGTGAGTCAGAACTAATTCGACAGCACTTAACAACAACAACCACCAGTTGTCGGTGAATATTCCGACTAAAGACGGTGTCCTGTGTCAGAGTGGACTGGGCTCCGGGAGACTCTCAGTGGCGGATTGTTTCAGAAGCAGATTCCCAGGCTTTCTACAGCAGCTGTGGGAGGATTTGAACCCCTCGGTGATTGATTAGCAGGCAGCTGACCCACAATAATTGTTCACACCACCTATTGGCTTCTTGATTTTGCTGTAGCCCAGCAAACCCACTGCCCTTCAACTCTCAGTGATCATGTAGCACAGAGTAGAAGTGCCCAGAGGATTTCTGGGCCTGTACGTCTTCTCAGAAGCAGACGCTCCCACCTGCGTCCCATGCAGTGCTAAGGAAGTTTGAATAGCTAACAATCTGGTCCGTAGCGGAGCACACAAGCACTTTGCTGTCAGGGCGCCTTTTATGCTGAAATAAATAAATGTAGTTGGAATGATCCCAAAGGCATCTTTCTACCTTTGTTTATTAATACAGTGAATTAGTTGTTGACAATGAGACAATAAGTTATTTTGGCTTTAGTTTGAAACAGTAATTAACTAATATATTTGTGACTGAAACAAGACATACAACACATTGCTGTATATGTTAGCTATCATAAAATATCATTATGACTACTCCTTGAATTTGGTGGTGGTGGTGTCCGTAGAGTTAGTAGCGACTCATAACAACCCTGTGTAGGGTTTCTGAGGCTGTAAATCTTTACAGGAGCAGAAAGCCTCATCTTTCTACCGCAGAGCAGCGGGCAGTTTCGAACTGTTGACCTTGAGGTTAGTTAGCAGCTTGACTCATAATCACTATGCTAGAGGATTCAAAGAATATTTTAATTCTCATTTCTTGTTTCCAGTACCCATTATTCGTTCATGTGTTAAGTCAATGATAGGCTTTCTCACTCCTTTTATTAATGTTTAATATATAGAATGAGAAAGACTACATCATTTTTATTATCTTGGCTAGTTTTCATACCAACTCTGAGATCATGCCAATAATGCCCATATTTTATACATGTTTGGAGAGATTAAATGAATTTAAATTCATACAACTAAAAACTCACTTCTGTAAGTCTTTTGATTCTAAAGTATAGGAATTTTTCAACACTTGAGGTTGCCTGTTGGTGAAGCAGTATAAAAATGAATTTCAGTGTTTGTGGTTCACATGCTGAGTTTGTCTTCTAACCTTTCAGTTATTCGACAAAGAAGAGAAGCAGATGTTGCATTATTTTCAGAACTCCACAGAAAACTTCATTCACAGGTATTACACAGTTTTGAAAAGCATTTCATTATTGGTGAAGATAGTATGAGTGGTATAGGGACATTTGAACATTTTTTTGTGGCATCACATTTAAACTTCTTTATTGGGTAATGGATTTTAATTTGTTAAACAGTATGCCTTTTTTAAAAAAAGTTTTATAGAACTAAGTATTCGTTGGATTTAATGATAAAATGCTTATCAGATGACAAGGTAATTGGAAAAATAATAGATCAGAATTATTTACATTTAAAATTCTATTACAGAAGCCTTAATTATGTTACTGTAGAAAGCACATTGGTAGATTTGTTGACTTATTTGCATATGCAAGCAAAAGCTTTTTTTATTTATTGCACTTGAATTTTGTTCATTGGGTCATAATTTGTACTGCTGTTTGAGTAACTTTAAAGCTGTTTTTTGATTTGGAACTTTTTGATTGGGTTTTGAGACTGTAGAAATGAATGGTTTTTCTAACTTGCTTTATTTATAAGGTAGTTTGTTAACTTTGTTGTTGTTGTTAGATTTCGTTGAGTCGGTTCCAACTCATAGTGACGTGTGTCCAACTGTGTGTACTGCGTGGCCCTGCACCCTCCTCACAGTCGTTTTTATGCTTGAGCCCATTGCTGCTGCCACCGTGCCAATCCATCACATTCACATTTGGGCTCTTCCTCTTTTTCGTTGACCCTCCACTTTACACAAGCTTGATGTCCTTCTCCAGGGACTGGCCATACTGGCTTCTGAGGAATATTCTGGCTGTACTTCTACCAACACAGATTTGTTTGGTCTTCTGGCAGTCTGGCAGTCCATGGCACTTTCAAATAATCTTCTGTAACACCAAAAGTGGAGTCTTGGTGTGGCACTGGGTTAATGTGCTGGAATGCAACATCGGTTTGAACCACAAGGTTGGTGCTTCAAGCTCACCAACTATTCCTTGGAAATCCTATACAGGGTCGCTATGAGTCGGAAGTGATTTGATGACAGTTAACAACAACAACACCGAAACTCAAATGCATCCGTTCTTCTATGATCATCTTTACTGTCCACCTTTGACATGCATGTCAGGCTGTTAAAAATTCCATGGGTTGGGTTAGTCCTCAAACTGACATCTTTGCTCTAGAACAATTAAAAGAGGTATTTTGTAGCAGATTTCCTAATGCAGTACAACCTTTGATTTCTCGACTGCTATTTCCATGAATGTTGATAGTGGATCTAAGTAAAATCAAGTCTTTGGCACGTTCAATCTTTTGTCCATTTATCTTGATGTTATCAGTGGTGAGGATTTTTGTTCTCTTTACATTGGGGTGCAACCCATGCTGAAAGCTGTGGTCTTTGATCTTCATCAGTTAGTGCTATTTGACAGTGCTCCTACAGTTTTCACAAGTCTTTCAGTGGCTACACATTTACAAGTACTCCGTTTGTCTTACTTTAGAAGCTAAGCTGAAACCTGTCCACCATGGGTGACTGTTGGTGTGTAATGTGCTGATGGTATAGCTTCCAGCATCACAGCAACATGCAAGCCACTGCAATATGACAGACTGACAGACACATGGTAGTTTGTTAGCCTGTACACCAAATAAATCACTTGAGCAATAGGATGCTTTGTGTGTGTGATTATTGCCTATAAAGGAACTTAATTCTTCTAGCTGTCTGCCTCCTTTCATAGAGAAGATGGTGGGAGCTGGAGAGGTTGAACACGCGATTGAGTTAGAGGACTGTTGTTGGTAGCTGCCGTCCAGTTGGTCCCCACTATGAAGGACTCCATGTGTACAGATTCCAACTCCATAGGGCTTCCATGATGGATTCGATGTGTAGAGTCCAACTCCATAGGACTTCCGTGATGGATTCAATGTGTAGAGTCCACCTCCATCGGGCTTTCATGATGGCTTCGATGTGTAGAGTTCAACTCCATAGGGCTTCCATGATGTACTCGATGTGTAGAGTCCGACTCCATCGGGCTTCCAAGATGGATTCGATGAGTAGGGTCCAACTCCATAAGGCATCCATGATGGCTTCGATGTGTAGAGTCCAACTCCACAGCGCTTCCATGATGGATTCAATGTGTAGAGTCCAACTCCATAGGGCTTCCATGATGTACTCGATGTGTACAGTCCAACTCCATAGGGCTTCCATGATGGATTCAATGTGTAGAGTCCAACTTCATAGGGCTTCCATGATGTACTCGATGTGTACAGTCCAACTCCATAGGGCTTCCATGATGGATTCAATGTGTAGAGTCCAACTCTATAGGGCTTCCATGATGGATTCGATGTGTAGAGTCCAACTCCTTAGGGCTTCCATGATGGATTCGATGTGTAGTTTCTAATTCCATAGGACTTTCATGATGGATTCGATGTGTAGAGTCCAACTCCATAGGGCTTTCATGATGTACTCTATGTGTAGAGTCCAACTCCATAGGGCTTTCAAGGCTGTGACCTTTCAAAGCAGACAATCAGACTGGTCCTCCAGACCCTTTCAGCTAACTTCACGAGTGGCCTAAGAATCTTAAGTTATTATTACAAGTAAAATAAGAATTACAAGTTGCACCTAATGCAAATGATTAAACTCATGTGTTTTTCCAGTGTTTTTCAGTTTACGTATTTTGCTTTTACATATGAGGGGGCTTCAAAAAGTTTGTGAAGAAACTGTTATCTTTTCATTCATTTTTTGCTGATGTTTTTGAAGCCTTCTTGTATAAGGAGCACTGGTGGCATGTTGTTATAAAGTGCCGGCTAGTCGGTTCTGACCCATAAGACCCAGTATAGGGTTTCCGAGGAGCAGCTGGTGAGCTTGAACTGCTGACTTTGCAGTTCAAACGGCTTTGCAGTCTGGCACATTAACCCACAGCGCCACAGTGGTTAATTATTCAGCTGTTAGCTGAAAGGTTCACACCCACCATCCTGTTTTGTAGGAGACAGATATGGCGATCTGTTTTCACAGAGCTTTATAGCTTTGCTATATTTGCAGTCATTGTGTCATTCCATCTCATGAGTGTCTTCCTCTTTTTTACCGACCAGTACTTTACCAAAGTTGGTTTCTTGTCTCTTCTTGATAACATGTCCTAAGTACAATGTCTTACCACCCTGGCTTCTAAGGAACATTCTGGCTGTACTTCTTCCATCTAAATTTGGATCATCATAGTTTGCATTTCAAATTACTGTAATCTTTTAAATTAATGTCTAGTTTCTAGTTTTGTCTTCTTCTAGAACAACAACAATGGAATCCTGGTGTGGTATTGTAGGATAAACATTGGTCTGCTAATTGCAAAGTCAGCAGTTCAAATCCACCAGCTGCTCCTCAGAAACCCTATACTGGGTAGCTATGAGTGAGAACTGACTTGATGGCACTTGATATCAACAACAAAAATAAGCATAACTTGTTCATACAACTGTCACTGTGACTTTTCTAAATGCATGATTTGATCGTTTCACCTTCTACATACAATTCTCAAAGACTTACGGTTATCTGTAGCTTAAACTCTAAATTTCTTGGTACAGAAAAACCATGCCTCCTTTGATGACTTTTCACTTGATTTAAACATTTTATTCTCTCTCCTAGCTTTGAACCGACTCGATGGCACTTAACAACAACAACAACTCCTAGCTTTAGCCAAGTGTATGTGTTTCTTGGAAAGACTGTGTTTGTTCACTTTCTTTCCCATTTTCATCACCTTATTTTACTAAGGACTTCTGATGTAGTGCTGTATGATAAACACTGGACTGCTAACCACAAGGTTGGTGGTTCAAACCTACCAGCGGCTCCTTGGAAACCCACCCTCTACAGGAACCGACTCCACACACTGACAACGACAGCAGCATCTTTCTAAGAGATGTAATAGATCTCCTCTAGGAATCTTTTCATGGTTACCTGAGTCTGGGTTGGTCTTGAAATACGTTTTGTCCTGTCATATAATTTATTATCTACATTTGTCTGTCCACCACTTAACTGAGGACTTCTTTAGGACTGGTCCATGTATTAATCTTTATTGCTCCAGATGGGGACTTTATTGAATTGAATTTTTGAAAAAATGGTACAAATCAATTTTTAGAGTTATACCATAATTTAAATACCCAGGATGAAATTTTTCTGTAAAGAACTAGTGAAATTGAAGCTAAAGCCTTGTGAGGCCTGGCCTGGCTGCTGGAGATCAGTCTGGGAGATGAGGTCTGAACGTCTCATTGTTGGAAGTGAGTGCGCTCCGTATGCTGACTGCCCCACAGAAACCAGCCTATGAGTGCGTTCCAGTTTAAATCTGAGTGTGGAGAGCACATGATACTGAGACCTGTGTCTTACACAGCAGAAATCTTTTTTGATTTAAATAATACTGTATTTTGTTCCCTGAATGAATGAGGCATAGGTAAAGAGGGGAGGGAAGAGGGACGCACATATTTTCTGATGGCATTTTTCTCATAATCAGTATGCTTGGGAAGTTGGTTATTATCAAAGTTGTTGAAGGAGAAAGTACTGGTTTTCAGGAATAGGGCAATTTAAAAATTGTACTTGTACGGGACTTTGGAGTCATTTACAGGGTTGAAGGATCCTTGGATATAAATCTGGAGACTTTGATCTTTTCTTGCTTTCTGCCGTGCAGTGCTATTTGTGTTATCTGAAAAATGAACAAGTTTAGATTTAATGTTGCCATGTGAATTTTAAAATGTGTTTCTAAGTTGGGATGGAAGCTCTGGTGTGGCGCTGTGGAATAAGCAAGGCCCGCAGTTCAGAACTGTCAGCTGCTGCTTGAAAGCTTTAGGCAGGGTCACTGTGAGTTGGAACTGACTTGATGGCACTCAATAACAACAGTTGTTGGGAAAAGTGTAATTTAATGGAGAGGAAGGTAAAATTTGAGAGTAATACAGAATTTTTGTAATGTTAATTTTCTTTCTATACAGGGAGTTTTGAAAAATAAGTGGTCAATACTCTACCTCCTTCTGAGCCTTAGTGAAGACCCACGTAAGCAACCAAACAAGGTAAATAGTGATTATTTTAGCAACTTTATGTCTTTTAAAAAGAGCTTTACTGTCTTTAGTTGGGAGGATTGCACTAAAGTTTGATAGGACTCAGGTTCTGTAGTTAACAAAATAATATGAGTAAAGCAAAAAAAACTTACCTAGTTGTCCAAATATTCATGAAAGGTCCAAGGTGTCTTTCTTCTTTTTTTTTTTTAATCACTGTGGGCAGTGTTCCCTTAAGCTGTTTTCCTGAATTGTTGTTATAGATGTGATAATGTGTCATAAAACAGCATACATGATCAGATTTCATTATTTTTACTTGGTAAAGTTGTTAGATAATTGTTTATGCATTAGAAGGCCTGGAGATTTTCCTTGTGCTTTTAGGTAACATTGTGAAGCACACCAATTAATGCTATACTAGGGAATGCCTGGTGTATAGGATGAACTGTGGACTGAAAGGTCAATTTGGACCGCAAGGTTGCTGGTTCAAACTCACCAGCTGCTTCTCAGAACCCATATACAGGGTCGCTGCGAGTCAGAACTGACACAGTAGCACTTAACAACAGCAGCAAAATGAAAATTTCATTTTACCACACCGGATTGATGTGTGTTATGTAGTATTTGAAAAAGCTCTTTTGGCTGCTTTCTGTCTATTATAGAAACTTGAAGCTCAAAAAGCTGAAGACTGGGGCTAGAAACATCATACTCATCCTAGAAGCTTACTCTGATTGATGAACCCCTGCTCATTTTATAAAATGCCAAGGTGTTCACAATTATTTGAGCTTTCTGTTTGTTTAGGTTCTACTGGACAATGTTAGCGTTGTTAGAATTCAGAACATTTTCTAAAACAGTTTTGGCATATTTAAAAGTATAATTATTGTGCATTGAGAACAAAATCCCGTTACAGAAAATCTGATGCTTATCTTTTCACATCTCCATATTCCTAATGCATTTTAATTTTGTTTTAAGGTTTCGAGCTATGCCACATTATTTGCTCAAGCATTACCAAGAGATGCTCACTCAACTCCCTACTACTATGCCAGGCCTCAGACCCTGCCCTTGAATTACCAGGATCGCAGCACCCAGTCAGCCCCGAGTGCTGGCAGTCTGGGAAGCAGTGGAATCAGCAGTATAAGCATGTATGCCCTGAATGGCCCAACACCAACACCACAGTCTCTCCTTCCGGGGTAAATTCAAGGTTAACCTAAGCTTAGATTATTAAATAGAAATAAAAAATCATCAACTTTTCTTAAAAAATTTTGTGTTTGTTTAAAGTTTCTTCATTTCCTCATATTTGGCAGGTGGTATTCTACATGGATTGTTAGGTATGATCTTTATTAGGATTTAATGTTTCCTTAAAACTGTTGAGGACTACTGTGGCAAGATGAAGGAGTAGGCAGATGCACTGAGCACATGCTCTGCAACAAAGGCCTGGGAGGCCAAGAGCACCAGATGTAGGTGGTGACCCTGGAACCCTGAGCTTCAGAGGACAGGGCGGAGAGCTGGGTTGAACGCTAACTCGAAGAGGAAGTAGAACAGAGCACTGGGAGAAGAACACCTGCGCGCGAGCAGGCGGTAGGCTGACTTAGAGCAGCGTGGCCATCTTGAGCTTCTGCGAGTGGTTTCTGATACCATGATCTGCGGGTTCAGGACCATGGCTAGAGGTTGGCAGTTAGGGAGGGTGTAATTCTCCTTTGTTTCTTGCCCTCCTGGTAGCTCGAGACATGGCCAGTCCCCACCCGCAGTAACTTAATGGCTCTACCTGGGGTCAGACTCCAGGCGGAATACCCCTGCTTCTGGAGGCTTGTGATCTACGCTACAATGTGAACTGCGCTACACAAACAGTGAACAAAATAATTGTTCACACTTACAGTCTTTACTGCATCCACCAGAGACAGGTGCTGAGTGCCTGAGAACACACCAATATAGTTATCAATTAAATATAAATATGACTTCACAATGTTTTAAAGCAAGCAGACAATTTCAGCTTACACAAAGAAACAAGTGACCAAAATACAGTCAGCAAATTAAATTGGAACTACTTGACAAAGAATTCAAAATAATGCTATTTTGGCATCTTCAGTGGATTGAGACAACGCCTGAGAAAACAGAGGAACAAGCAGAAGAAAAAACAAAAACTGTAGAAAGCCTCTAAGATTCATGTGGGACATTATCAAGAGAAATAACTGATAAGAATTCTAACTCAAGAAGAGACAAGAAAACCTATAAAGAATATTGTTTGAGAATTGTTAGAAGACAACCTTCCTAACATTATGAAAGATGAGAAGATGGCCATTCAAGAACTGAACAAACTCCAAACACCATAGACCCCAAAGGAAAACCACCAAGACGTAATCAGACTTTTCAAAGCCAAAGACAGGAATCCTGATAGCAACTCAGAAGAACTGAAAAGTTGTCTAAAAAGGAGAACTAATAAGACTAAGCTCTGATTTATCAGCAGAAACCAT